TCAGCACATATGAACCTAAGCATTATTAACGAAAAGAAGCAGCAAATCAGTAACAATCTATATAATAAAATGGTCCTTTTGATTACACTTGAATTTTTATACTATTATGGAAAAATTATATTCTTAAGTTGATAACTCTGTATGATAATTTTGGCAAGTTTGTTGTTATAACATTTTTTAAAATTCAGAAATACATTTTGAGAAGACAGTAGAGAGGAGTATTACATTTAGTACAAAAACTTTTAAAAAGATCAATTCTATGTTGGGATTAAATTAAATCTAAGATAACTAATAATACAACTTTAGAGTAACTATTGAGAAAAATCTGAGCCTTGGAAAATAAAAAAATCCAGAATTTTTTCTAACCCTTAGAAAGATTCTTATGAGTAAAAAATCTGAAAATGTACATCTCTCTGCTTCCCATCCACCCTTATGCACCCTGAAATTAAATTATGTAGACATGTCTGCATGCTTTTCAGTACCTGAGTTTCTGGTTTATATTTATCCACCCATGGTTCATTTTCAGACAGAGATTCTTTTGAATTTTCTAAACCATAAATCTGTTCTAAGGAAGACAGATTTCCTCTTTTTCTCGCTGGAAATTTACTACTTTCTAATGTAGAAGGTCCATTTTTTCTTCTATGACTTGAGTTATTCACACCTAATGACGTGGCAGTAATAGTAGAGATGTCTCTACACTCTAGAAAATCATCAAATGATGGGTCGACCCAGTCTGTTACCTGAAAAAAAAAAGAAATCTTGTAAATATAGTCACATTTTCTCCCATCTATTCGCCCAAATAACTGAACTACTCTGGAAACAGCATACTCATAAATTTAGAACCTTTAAAACTAAAAAAAAAAAAAATTTGTTTTTTGAGACAGGGTCTCGCTTTGTCGCCCAGGCTGGAGTGCAGTGGTACAATCTCAGCTCAAGCAATCCTCCAGCCTCAGCCTCTTGAGTAACTGGGACTATAGGCATGCACCACCATGCCCAACTATTTTTTTGTACTTTTTGTAGAGATGGGTTTTTGCCATGTTGCCCAGGCTGGTCTCAAACAATTCTTGGGCTCAAGCGATCCTCTCACCTCAGCCTCCCAAAGAGCTGGGATTACAGGTATGAGCCAAGACACCCGGCCTAAAAATCTTACAAATTAACTCTTTTTAAATAAAACTCTCTCTGTAATAGTTGTTTTTCTACTTTACAGTAAGTGCAAGTGCATACTTGTCTACTTGACCTTAAAGGAGTAAAGAACACAAACTTATTTTTATTCATTGTAATCTTCCCAGCATAAAGACTAGAATGATTTTTTTTAACTCTCTGTAGGATTGAAACATATTAAAATTACCTATTAAAAAAAGCAAAACAAAAGAAAAAAATGATAATATTTTAACAGAAATCGCAATAAGAGTAACACATCTGCCTTGGCCAGGTTAATACATTCACAAACTAAGAACCATTTCATATATCCAAATAATCCATATCAGCTTTAAGACTTAGTGAAGATATAGACCAAGGATCATAACGTTGCAATCTGTAATTATGACTGGATTATATTTTTCTTCAGTGCAAGAAGCAACTAATATTTTTATAATTGAGACAGGCTTTTCACGGGGGAACTGTCACTCAGAAACGCCTAGTAATGGTTGGGTGTAGTGACTCACACCTATAATTCCAGCATATTCAGAGATAGAAGCAGTAGGATTGCTGAGCCCAGGAGTTTGAGAACAGCTAGCATAACACAGGGAGACCCTAACCCTACAAAAAATAAAAAATTAGCCAGGCATGGTGGCGCACACCTGTATTCCCAGCTACTTGGGGTGCTAAGGTGGGAGAATCACTTGAGCCTGGGAGGTCAAGGTTGCAGTGAACCATGGTCACCCCACTGCACTCCAGCCTGGGCAACAGAGTGAGACCCTGTTTTGTTTTTTTTTTCTTGCTAAAATTTAGAAATTATTAGTTAATTATTACAAATAATTAGAAATTAGAAAGTTTTACCAGATTTTTTAACACTCTAATAGCATTAATCTAGAAAAACATAGCTTCAGATCTGGTTGTAGAATCTACTGCCTGGCTAACAAAAAGAAACCAAGTTATGTTTTCCTTCAAGAATACTCAGCCATAGTTGTGAGCTACCAATTAGACAATGTTCCTCTCTTGAAGAAAACGAACCAGAAGTTGGAGCTGAAAGTAGGCTTAGAGGAGGTAATTTAGGGCTTACAAATACTTTACAAATGCTAAGTCATACTTCACTCTTCTTTTAAGACAGAGAGTTAGGAATATTATTGGCAGTGGATTAAAGAAGGAAGACCACTGGAAAAAATTTCAGTCATAGCTACCTGATTCATTTCGTCCTCATCAAAAGATTGTGACTGGTACTATAATTTTGGCCCCTTTCCTCTATATTTTTGAGTGTATGAAAATATCTTTCATTATAAACCTTTCGACAGCAATTCTGATTTGCAAATTATTTATACATTTTATAGTTTCATTTCTTACATAAATGTGGACTCCCATATACTAGAAAAAAGAGAAAGATAAACAGCAAAGTTAAGTAATTTACTTAACATCAAAGAAAATTTAGAGCCACCACTTAGGGAAATAGCTACCCTGCATGCACGAAACTGTCTGACCCCCATCCCACTTTAACCCCTATCTTGCTGAGAACTGACACACTGAATCACATTACTTCTAAGAAGTAGGGCTTTTGGTTAAGCTATAACACCAACTACCACTCTTATTTCTCTCTTCTATGTTCTTCCATTCAAATGTTTTCAGCCTTTGTGACTGGGACTGTAAAACACTTTTTCAAAATTAAGGTTGTACTTTTAGAGAACATTTGTTTCACAACTTATTACCAGACTTGCTGAAATCATTAATTACAATAGATACTGGGCTCTATTACTTTGATAGCAGTAATAAGTTATTAAGAATATGTATAAAAATTTATAATTATTTTAAGGCAATTATTACATGGCCATTCTAGTGTATCATACCTTTGTGGAAGATACCTTTGGTCTAAGAAAAGTTTTTGACATTATAAACTGTAATAGTTCCCATCCGTAGTTCAGGACCTGTAGTACATTAAACTATAATTCACCTAGGGGGGGAAAAAAAGAAGCCCTCAAATGAAGAAAAACTGTAATTGCAGAATTATAGTAATAAATGTATACTGATATAATCAACAACACAATAAAGGCTCAAGAACTAGTGAAAAGGAACAGTAAATTTAAGTGATACAAGAAATCAAAATTCTAAAATAATTTTACTTTTAATGACTATAACTGTATTAAATAATCTACTTGTGGTGTTACTATCGGAGTTTTTCACATGAACTCAATGATGTATCAGAGGAAAAACAGAAAAAAACCACACATACTATGTACTTACCTTTTGTCATTAAAATTAGGCAATTTTATTTGAGCAATTTTTATACTGAAAATTAAAGTTTTCCTAATTTCAAATTACAGTTGCAGTTCTTCATTTCCAATATTTCCCAAAAAAGTAAAATACCATGAATTCACTTGCTGTGGACGAAGAATTTAAGTCTTACTGTGAAATTTTTGTTTTCATTTGAACACGTTATTAGAACATTTCTTGGTAACACTGTGGTTTTCAACCGTGTTTTCAAATGCTTAAACGTTTATGCAAAACTAGTGAATTCAACAATTTTAAGTTAGCCAGAAGAAAATTTTAAGGCCTACAAACTTATACACCGGAAAGTATACCGGACTATTTTACAGTTTGGAGGCACACATAGCCTATAAGCACCCCGACACACTAGAAAACACATTGTTCAGCCCTCCGCCCCAAATCGTTCGGGATTAGAGACTGTGACGTTTCAACAGGTACACAAGCGGAAAAAACCACCTATTTGAGTAAATATAGTTTGCAGCTCAAAATAAAAGATGCAGACCAGGGGCCGGGTGCGGTGGCTCACGCCTGTAATCCCAGCACTGTGGGAGGCCACGGCGGGAGGATCACCTGAGGTCAGGAGTTCGAGACCAGCCCGGCCAAAACATGGTGAAACCCCATCTCTACTAAAAATGCAAAAATTAGCCGGGCGTGGTGGTGGGCGCCTGTAATCCCAGCCCTTCCGGAGGCTAAGGCAGGAGAATCACTTGAACCCGGGAGGCGGAGGTTGCACTCCAGCCTGGGCGACAAGAGTGAGACTCCGCACCCCCCCCCCCCAAAAGGAAAGAAGACTACTGTCACGGTCAGGGTTCTATTCACCCTTGAAAACAAGATTGACAATTACCTCCTTTAAAAAGCAAGTAACTGTCCCTGAAGATGCCAGGTTCCTGAAATGAGATGTCAGAGGCAGACCTTCAAGACTATTCCTAGCCGACCCACCACCACCCCACACAGTGAACAGGGTATACCAAGCTCAAATATTCGTTCAACGTAATCCTATAATCAGTGGGGTGCCGGGTTGAGCTCGCAAATCCCCGCTGCAGGACAGGGCTTTGCACCCTCAATCTTCTCATCCCCAGATGGGATGGGCGGGTCGGGAGGAGGAGCGACGCGAGCCCAGGAAAGCTCGAAGGCAGAGATAGACTCGCGTCTCTAAGACATACACGTAATATAGCCGCAACCGCGGCGGCCTTACTTTCCCGGAGTTGCATCCCCTTTTGGGCAAAGAGCTGAGGCGACCGGGGTCTAACCTACGTGAAAGGGCAGCCACCTGGCCCTACCCGGGCTCAACGCCGAGCCTCTCGGAGGTACGGCCTCCCGGGGACCTTCCAGACTGGTCGGCGCATCAGCGACGCAAGCGAAGGGCGGGGACCTCCGAAGGAGTGTGTTACTTAGACATCCAGCGCACTGCCTGACCCGAAGTACCGACCCGAGTTACGCCCACCCTCCAACTTTGCGATGGAAATGTGTCATTGAAAGCCAGGTAACCAGTGGGCCGCGGCTGGGTCGCAGGGACAGGCTAGGGGCGCCGCGGTGGGCCTCGAGGCCCTTGGGGCCGTGGGCTTTTGCTGTCGCCCGCCCCTTCCGGCTCCTCCCCGTAGAGCAAAGGGCACGTGAGCTAGGCGCCCGGAGCCGTCGCCGCAGGGACCATGTTGCTTCCGAACATCCTGCTCACCGGTCAGGGCGCGCGGCCGGGAGGGGATGGGCGGGGGCAGGTGAGGGGCGCGGAGTGTTCTGGGCATCGGGCGCCCTGGTAGGAGTTTCTCAGTGCCGTCTTCGGAGGCCTGCAGAGGGCCACGAGGCGGTTGTCAGCGTCCCGGGAGCCGACCCTCACGGGCGTTGCGGCAGGCGGGGGAGGGGACGCGGAACGTTATTTCCGTTGGCCCGAGGCTCCCGGGGGAGGTGAAGAGAGGTCGGCAGATCCAGCTCTTCTGCTTAGCAACCTGCTTAGTCTTTCGGAATCTGGTATTTCGTTTGTAAAATGGATTGTTAATTCTTTGGCAGGGTAGGCTTTGAAATTTTCAGGGAAATAAGGCCATATCTGCTTCCCAGTAGTGCCATTAATGGTGGATTCCTCACTCCTTAGGCCTCCGTGGGCCGTATTTTATTTTTTCCTTTGCTTCTGATAAACGCCTCAGATTAGATTTCGGTAAATGAGTTCAGATGTTTGTGGCGTGACGAAATTACTGTATGCTTTTGTTGAGTTACATCAGAGGCTCCCCCCGCCCCTTAAAAAGAAGGCATCTAGTGAGCATTTCGGGTCGTTTCTCGCGTAGGAGTGGGTCTTTGAAGCCATACTCAGGGTGCGTGTTATCAGTAAAGGGAACTAAAATGCTGCAAAACGACTTCAACGAATATTTTTGCTAGCCGTTCAGTCCTGAAAGCGTTTATTAAATTGTAGGCCATTCGTGGAAAAATCTAATGCATGTAGATTTTATTGTAGCGTACAGAAAAATTAAGACTCTGTGGAAACAGTACAGTTACATCATTCACCCAAACGTAAGATTGTTGGCAGCGCACAAGACATGTCTGTTTCTGAGAGATGCAGATTAACCACCCCACAAATAATGTTTAGCATTTTAGATTCCTTAAGCAGAAGATTTTACATCTTTTTGTATGGATCAAACATAGTGCCCTGGTTATTAAGTCATTGTCAAAACATTTTATTGAAAATGTTTTGACAATAAAAGTGAGCATTTTATTGAAAACATGTTGAGTCCAGACTTCAGACTTGGTGTATTATAGTGGACTTGGGGTGGCTGTTATTCTCCTAGATAAGGGAACTGGATTATCCCTGTTATCTTTATGCTCAAGTTTAATTTCAGGGATGTTAAACCTGAATAGCTGAAAATTATGAATTTGATGATCTTGAAATGTAATTATAATAGGTATCATAAGAGGAAGGTAAAGAACAATGTATATAGTATTGTCATTTATGTACAAGGGAATATATATTGTATTTATTACAAAGAGTATGTACATACATACATGTACATTTATATGCAAACATAAATAGGGTTTTTTTGGGAATATATACCTGTATAGGAAACTGGTTTACAGTGGTTATCTCTAGGGAAGGGTGCAAGGGGTCAGTAGAGGTAATACGGTGTCTTTCAGACTGCTTAAATTTTAACATGAACAGTTTTTGTTTTTGTTTTTGTTTGAGACAGTCTTATGTTGGCCAGGCTGGTGTCGAACTCCTGAGCTTAAGTGATCCTCCCACCTTGTCCTCCCAAATTGTTGGGATTACACGCGTGAGCCACCACACCTGGCCAATGAACAGTTTTTAAATCTTTTTAAATTAAAGCAAATAGGCCAAGCAAACGAGCCTGTAAATTAAAGCTCATGCCCGTAAATCCCAGCACTTTGGGAAGTGGAGGTGGGGGGATGGCTTGAGCTCAGGGGTTTGAGCTTAGCTTAGGCAATATAGCCAAATCCCGTCTCTACAAAAATTAACCAGGGCATGTTGGTGCATACCTGTGGTCCTAGCTACTGGACAGGCTGAGATAGGATTTGAGCCCAGGAGGTGGAGGCTCCAGTGAGCCAAGTTCCACTGCACTCTGGCCTGGGTAACAAAGAGATATCTTGACTTTAAAAGAAGAAAAAGGTTGCCGGGCGCGGTGGCTCAAGCCTGTAATCCCAGCACTTTGGGAGGCCGAGGCGGGCGGATCACGAGGTCAGGAGACCGAGGCCATCCTGGCTAACACGGTGAAACCCCGTCTCTACTAAAAAATACAAAAAACTAGCCGGGCGAGGTGGCGGCGCCTGTAGTCCCAGCTACTCGGGAGGCTGAGGCAGGAGAATGGCCAGGAGAATGGCGTAAACCCGGGAGGCGGAGCTTGCAGTGAGCTGAGATCCGGCCACCGCACTCCAGCCTGGGCGACAGAGCCAGACTCCGTCTCAAAAAAAAAATAAAAATAAATAAAAAGAAGAAAAAGGTAAATAAATTATTGTAATTGATTCGAAGTGGCTAATTTTTTTTTTTTTTTTTTTGGAGACGGAGTCTCTGTCACCACGCTGGAGTGCTGTGGCGCGTCCTTGGCTCACTGCATCCTCCAACCACCCGGTTCAAGGGATTCTCCTGCCTCAGCCTCCTGAGTAGCTGGGATTACTGGCATGTGCCACCACGCCTGGCTAATTTTTGTATTTTCATAGAGATGGAGTTTCACTATGTCGGCCAGGATGGTCTCGATCTCCTGACCTCATGATCTTCCCGCCTCGGCCTCCCAAAGTGCAGTGATTACAGGCATGAGCCACTGCGCCCAGCACGAGGTGGCTAATTTTATTCTGAGTAGTTCCATGGTAGCAGCAGGCAGTTTGAATTGGCGTCAGAATTTGCTGAGCCCCACCCCTGGAGAATCAATACACTGGGTAATATTCTGACATTCAATTAGCTTTGGAAAATTTTTATTAGATCGTAGTACATGCTGATTTACATATGGCCAGGCATGGTGGCTCACGCCTGTAATCCCAGCACTTTAGGAGGCCTAGGCGGGCAGATGACATGAGGTTAGGAGTTTGAGACCAGCCTGGCCAATATGGTGAAACCCTGTCTCTACTAAAAATACAAAAATTAGCTGGGCATGGTGGTGGGCACCTGTAATTCCAGCTACTCAGGAGACTGAGGCAGGAGACTCGCTTGATCCTGGGAGGTGGAGATTGCAGTGAGCCAAGATCGCACCACTGCACTCCAGCCTGGGTGACAAGAGCGAAATTCCGTCTCAAAAAAAAAATTTTTTTTACATGTTATTGCTAATTAGGAAATTTTTCATTTCAGTCATCAAGATCTTTAAGGGCAGAGGCCAGGTGAGACTCTGCCTCAGAAATAAAAAAAGGAAGGGCACAAGGTGGGCTGCAGTGTGATAAGTAGTATTTCACAAACAGTATTTTTCTGTGGCTTGTCTTACAGGTACACCAGGGGTTGGAAAAACTACACTAGGCAAAGAACTTGCGTCAAAATCAGGACTGAAATACATTAATGTTGGTGATTTAGCTCGAGAAGGTAAGGGACACTTTGGTGTTAGATTTGTTTTGTTTTGTTTTGTTTTAAGTCTGATAGTGGAGTGTTAGTGCTGGGTATTGTCAGAAGGTACAAAAAACAGATTGCCATTAAAGAATATATACTCTTGCCTGTAATCCCAGCACTTTGGGAGGCCGAGACGGGCGGATCATGAGGTCAGGAGATCGAGACCATCCTGGCTAACACAATGAAACCCCGTCTCTACTAAAAATACAAAAAAATTAGCCGGGCGAGGTGGCGGGCGCCTGTAGTCCCAGCTACTCGGGAGGCTGAGGCAGGAGAATGGCATAAACCCGGGAGGCGGAGCTTGCAGTGAGCCGAGATGGCGCCACTGCACTCCAGCCTGGGCGACAGAGCGAGACTCCGTCTCAAAAAAAAAAAAAAAAAAAAAAGAATATATACTCTTTTAGGGAATCCACAGAAATATTAAGTGTCTAATGCTATGTCCTGGTTATTTTGAGCATTTTCCCTTCCTCCTTGAAAATGGCTAGCAATTCTTGTGAATAGTTGGGAAGGCTCCTATGAAGAGACTGGATTTCGGAGAGGTAGAATGTGAATAAGGAGAATGTTTTCAAGTTGAGCAAACAAAGGTTTGGTACTGCTGAACATATATATGAGCACAGTGAGTGTATTGGTCTCACTGGAAAGAGATTGTTTTGAGCTCAGGTGTAGGACATGACTATGCTGTGGTATCTTAGTGTGAGGTTTGCATGCAACTGCATATATTCTAAGATGATAGATGTTTTTATTTATTTTACCCTGTTTTCCCCTAATCTTTTATCACTCCCTTATTTGTGTCTTCATCTTTTTATAGTTGACAATGATTTGTACATGGTAGGAACTCAATAAATTAAAGGGATTTTAAGTATGCCTCATTAAAATTAAGAAAACATATGGTTTAAATTTAAAAAATTTTTTTACAGTTTAACATAGATTAAAAAAATTTTTAAGTTCCTGACAGTTGCTACTAAAGTAACTATTTCAGATTGATCTAATGTACATATTTTTTTCAAATGATCTAAAGTCTGATCATCGGATATCATGGAGTCTGGCAAGATGGCTTCTCCCAAGAGCATGCCGAAAGATGCACAGATGATGGCACAAATCCTGAAGGATATGGGGATTACAGAATATGAGCCAAGAGTTATAAATCAGATGTTGGAGTTTGCCTTCCGATATGTGACCACAATTCTAGATGATGCAAAAATTTATTCAAGCCATGCTAAGAAAGCTACCGTTGATGCAGATGATGTGCGATTGGCAATCCAGTGCCGCGCTGACCAGTCTTTTACCTCTCCTCCCCCAAGAGATTTTTTATTAGATATCGCAAGGCAAAGAAATCAAACCCCTTTGCCACTGATCAAGCCATATTCAGGTCCTAGGTTGCCACCTGATAGATACTGCTTAACAGCTCCAAACTATAGGCTGAAATCTTTACAGAAAAAGGCATCAACTTCTGCGGGAAGAATAACAGTCCCGCGGTTAAGTGTTGGTTCAGTTACTAGCAGACCAAGTACTCCCACACTAGGCACACCAACCCCACAGACCATGTCTGTTTCAACTAAAGTAGGGACTCCCATGTCCCTCACAGGTCAAAGGTTTACAGTACAGATGCCTACTTCGCAGTCTCCAGCTGTAAAAGCTTCAATTCCTGCAACCTCAGCAGTTCAGAATGTTCTGATTAATCCATCATTAATTGGGTCCAAAAACATTCTTATTACCACTAATATGGTGTCATCACAAAATGCTGCCAATGAATCATCAAATGCATTGAAAAGAAAACGTGAAGATGATGATGATGACGATGATGATGACGATGACTATGATAATTTGTAATCTAGCTTTGCTGCATGTAACATGTATACTTGGTCTTGAATTCATTGTACTGATATTAAACATGCATGCTGGATGTTTTCAAGTTGTGTTTTAGAAAACTTTAATAATAATTAATGAGTAAATACAGTTACCATACTTTTCAATTGAAATGAAGGTTTTTCATCAGCCTTAAAAGTGTAAGAGAAATAAAGTTGTCATTCATTACTTTGATTGTTGGTGCTTTGGCAGTTATGTTTTTAAAAGCAATTTTCTCCCTGTTGTCACCAAGGGGAGTAACAGTTGACAGTTGCAGCAACTTGCAGTACTGTAGTCTATTGTTGACCACTAGAATGTCACCTCAAGTGTCTTCAGATATATAGATCACAGTATGATCTCTGGTGTACGTCACTCTTGTGATCTGTTCTCTCAGTTGCTGAAGTATAACCATGACTCCTCTTTGGAGAGACTAGTTGGTCAGGATTTTTATTCATAGTGAATTCTTAACCTGCTTTGATTATCTTCCTCAATTGTCCAACTTCCTAGGTCCCATTTTTCTGTCCCTTTGGTTATATTAAGGACCCTTAGTGTCTCCCAGTATGTCTCCACTTTTAAAAAAAAAATTTATCAGTGTCTCTTTTTGCAGGTTAATTTTGAGCATCTTTGTTTTTCATATTCCTGATACTATAAGCCAGTATCATGTTCATTTTTGATCCAGGGCTGATGATTAGGTTATAGTTTATATTTTTTTAATTTTTAAAATTTTTTTGTCCAAAAGAACATCAATTTATCAAGGTTATAGTTTCTGAAACCTAGATCTTTATTTGCTATCATACAAATACTCATTTTCCATTTCATTTTATTTCCTGAAACAGAATCTCATTCTGTTGCCCAGGCTGGAGTGCAGTGGCACAATCTCAGCTCACTGCAACCTCCATGTCCCAGGTTCCAGCGATCTTCACACCTCAGCTTCCCAGTAATTCCAGTAGCTGGAATTACAGGTATGCACCACCACACCTGGCTCATTTTTATATTTTTAGTAGAGATGAGCGTTTGCCATGTTGTCCAGGCTGGTCTTGAACTCCAGGCCTCAAGTGATCTGCCCACCTCGGCCTCCCAAAGTACTAGGATTACAGGTGTGAGCTACCGCACCTGGCCTTCCTTTCTTTCTTTTTTTTGAGACAGAGTCTCACTCTGTTGCCCAGGCTGGAGTGCAGTGGTGCAATCTCAGCTCACTGCAAGCTCCACCTCCCGGGTTCATGCCATTCTCCCGCCTCAGCCTCCCTAGTAGCTGGGACTACAGGTGCCTACTACCACGCCCAGCTAAGTTGTATTTTTAGTAGAGATGGGATTTCACCGCGTTAGTCAGGATGGTCTCAATCTCCTGACCTCGTGATCCACCCACCTTGGCCTCCCAAAGTGCTGGGATTAAATAGGTATGAGCCACTGTGCCCAGCCCAGCCTTTACGTTTTATATCTATGAAATCTGGTTTTGTTCCTCATTGTTGAACACCACTATTTTGACAAGTGATTTCTGAGTCACATAATAGTCAATTTCATTCATGCATTCTAATGTTACTTTCACTTAATTTAACACTTCTAAGCTAATTAGAGCATTAATAGCATTGAGAGCAATGGTTACACTAGACCAAGGAAAATCCAGTATAAGGCACTTGTCTTCCTCTTCTTTAGGTCCTCTCCTACCAGTACTCACACCATTTCATTTGGTTAAGACAGAGTCTTGCTCTGTTGCCCAGGCTGGAGTGTGGTGGCCTGATCATAGCTCATTGCATCCTTGAACTCCTGGGCTCAAGTGATCATCCTGCCTCAGCCTCCCTTGTAGCTGGGACTACAGGCACACACCATCTTTCCTGGCTAATTTAAAATTTTATTTGCAGAGGGCTGGGCGCGGTGGCTCACGCCTGTAATCCCAGCACTTTGGGAGGCCGAGACGGGCGGATCACAAGGTCAGGAGATCGAGACCATCCTGGCGAACCCGGTGAAACCCCGTCTCTACTAAAAAATACAAAAAACTAGCCGGGTGAGGTGGCAGGCGCCTGTAGTCCCAGCTACTCGGGAGGCTGAGGCAGGAGAATGGCGTAAACCCGGGAGGTGGAGCTTGCAGTGAGCTGAGATCTGGCCACTGCACTCCAGCCTGGGTGACAGAGCGAGACCCCGTCTCAAAAAATAAAAAAATAAAAATAAAATTTTATTTGCAGAGACAGGATCTGGCATTGTTCCCCAGGCTGGTTTATTCCTTGGCTCAAGTTGTCCTTCTGCCTTAGCCTCCCAAAGTGCTGAGATTACAGACAAGAGCCTCTGTACCTCGAGTACTCAACACCATTTTAGTCAGTTGTGTATAGTCCCAACCATTCTCTTTGTTATTAGGGAGATTATTTCATGAAATGGGATCTAAGTCTTAAAGGAAAAGTGTGGGGTTTTTTTCCCGCCTATAATGCCAGATAAAAGATTTCTGGTCTGACTTGACATGGGGTTTGATGGAGGTACTTTGTGGGGTTTTTTTGTTTGTTTGTTTGAGACAGGGTCTTGCTCTGTGGCCCAGGCTGGAGTGCAATGGCACAATTTCCCTTCACTGCAACCTCAGCCTCTGGGGCTCAAGTGGGAAAGCTCCCACTTCAGCTTTCCCAGTAGCTGGGACTACAGACACAAGGCCTCACTGTGTTGCCCAGACTGGTCTCTAATTCCCAGGCTCAAGTGATCCTCCCACTGTCGCCTCCCAAAAGTGCTGGGATTACCCGCGTTAGCCATCGCGCCTGGCCTGATGAGGTACTTTGTAAAGTTTGACATCCCAGATTTTTTAACCCAAATCTTGTTTGAATATATCTGGAAATATTCTGAGGCAGCCAACCTCATTTTTGTTTCAAGTGGTGATATATTTTAAGGGAAACCAGGCAATCATCTATAATGCAGTGATTCTCAACTAGGTAATTTTTGCCCTTTGTGGGTATAGCAGTGTGTGAAGACGTTTTGGGTTGTCACATGGAGGGGGAGGTGATGGCCAGGTTTATTACTAGCATCTAGTGATCAGTGACCAAGGATTCTACTAAAGATCCTATAGTTCATAGGACAGTTCCCTGTCTCCCCTAATAACAATTACCAGATTCAAAATGTCATTAGTAACAAGGTTGAGAAACCTTGCTGTAAAGAAATGAGGCTTATTCTGATGCTCACTAAAGTCAGAAAAAAAGAAACAAGGCTTTAAGAAAACCCTAGTTTTAAACATATTTCTGAAAGTTTAGTATCATCCTAGTGATCATGTGGAATTGCAGTAGTAATTGAGAGAGGTCATCTTTACTCCCAAAACCAAGGCAAAAAAAAAAAATTAGGTGGGGAAGTAAGTTTAAGAAAACTGGCCGGGCATGGTGGCTCATGCCTGTAAATTCCAGCACTTTGGCCTAGCACGGTGGCTCATGCCTGTAATCCCAGCACTTTGGGAGGCCGAGGCGGGTGGATCACCTAAAGGTCAGGAGTTCAAGACCAGCCTGTCCAACATGGTAAAACCCCATCTCAACTAAAAATACAAAAAATTAGCCAGGTATGGTGGTGGGCCCCTGTAATCCCAGCTACTTGGGAGGCTGAGACAAGAGAATCACTTGAACCTGTGAGGCAGAGGCTGCAGTGACCTGAGATCACACCACTGCACTCCAGCCTAAGCAAGACGGAGCGAGACTCCGTCTCAAAAAAAAAAAAAAATCAGCTCAGCGTTGCTGAGGGCGCCTGTAATCCCAGCTACTCGGGAGGCTGAGGCAGGAGAATCACTTGAATCTGGGAGGCAGAGGTTGCAGTGAGCCGAGATCACATCACTGTACTCCAGCCTGGGTGACAGAGAGATTCCGTCTCAAAAAAAAAAAAAAAAAAAAAAGAGAAAACTATTAGGAGTCTTACTGTGGGCCGGGCGCAGTGGCTCAAGCCTATAATCCCAGCACTTTGAGAGGCCGAGGTGGGCAGATCACGAGGTCAGGAGGTTGAGACCATCCTGGCTAACATGGTGAAACCCTGTCTCTACTAAAAACACAAAAAATTAGCTGGGTGTGGTGGCGGGCGCCTGTAGTCCCAGCTGCTTGGGAGACAGAGCTTGCAGTGAGCTGAGATCACACCACTGCACTCCAGCCTGGATGACAGAGCAAGACTCCATCTCAAAAACAAAAACAAAAACCATGAGTCTTACTGTGGTATGACTATAAGAATGCTTCTCTTATCCCTATTCTCCTAGTCTCAAGACTCCTCATTTGACATCCTTTCCTATATGCAATCATTTTTTATACTCTTACTAGCATCCTTAATTTTCCTGGCAGCAGTTTTTCAGTCATCAGCCTCTTCCTAACTGCAGGATACCCATAGGTCTAGACAAAGTAGTATATTGACATTGGATCCATTTCCAGTAGAAACTGTAAAGCATAGCTTGGCTTTGAACACTTAGGATCTTGATATATCTTTAACCTAGGGGTTGGCAAGCTACTGTTGTTTTTGTATGACTTCTGAGCTAAAGACTAGCTTGCAAAGTGTGAGGTATTTATGATCTGGCCCTTTACAGGAAAAAAAAAAAGATGCTGATCCCTGTTCTATCCTTTTCTGAATCCCATTTTTCTCTCCCCTTATCAACTCCCGCTGGAAGCCTTGGAAACTAACTCCTCTATTGGCCTCTCTGACACTGCTCTCTCCCCATCTTTGCCTCTGATCCTTCCCCTTCCACTCATTTCCCCCGTGATTTCATTGCAGTCATATTGTGATTCTGCCCCTCCCACTAGTAATCTCACTCATTCAGGACTATTCACTCCCCTTGTGCTGATGACTTAAATTTACAATTAAAACAGCCCAATTTCTAGACACCTATTAGACATAACCATGTGGATAGTTCCCAGATGTTTACACCTCTAAAGTAATATGTTTAAAGCACATGCTCTGACGTCATCCTTGACTGTACTTGCCCACTCTGATTTCTACCTCCCAAGCATATAAATACACATTCACTCTCTCACAAAGATCCACTTGGCCTTTAAATCTTGATGGTTTCTCCAACACATCCCTGCAGTACCCCTATTTCATCAAGACCACTGGTGCTATGCCTAGAATCCTACCTAGAATCTCTTATTTGACCTCTTCAGTAACTCTTTCCTCCCTCTTCTACACTATCATTTTCTTAAAAGCAGGGAAGGAGAATGACATGATTTGAATTTTTTACTCACATAGTCCATCCTCCTTAAGGAAATATA